CMCAGACTGCATAATTTTAGGATTCTCAGCTGAGTAACCAGCATTTCAGTGTTCAGGTAAGGCACAAAATATGCTCAAGCAGACTGACCTGGTCTCTGTGGAACCATGTAACTCATSGAAAAAGGCCTTGTCTCATAAAACTAGGAGTCCAGAAAGTCTAGAAAAAAAAAAAAAAAAACATGTATGGCCCTCTCTTAGTGGAACCTCTTCAGCTAGACCAGAGCTTTGGAACTGGCTGCTGGATTTCCACAGGGTATGTGCCCTCTGTAACAACGCAGGCCAGTATGAGCCTGGATGAGCCATGGGCAACATGCTTTAGCTTTGGGTATTTTTAATAATGCAGCTCATACTTGTTTGTTATAGAAAACCTGGAAAGAACTTGTAAAGTAAAAAAATATGTGGATGAGTATATCTCACCCATAAAATTTTTACCTATAGCTCACTACTATTAACAAAGGGTATAAATYGTTATAGATTTTTTGAGTGTTTACTTACATGTGAGTTTCTTTGTTYATTTGGCATAAGGTAATATAAACTCTCATGTGCTACTGAAGATAGGGAGGTAAACAGAATTCCATTTTATTCTTCCATGACTTCCTTTTTTGCCTAATATTAAGATTTTGCTATTCAATTTCATACAAGTGCATAGCTACAATTAATTGCACTTTGCTTTTGTGCAGTATTCCATAAAAAGATGCTACAGTCACTTTCCYWWTTTGTGTGCATGTGTGTATGTGTATGTGTGTGTGCGCGTGTGTGTGTGTTGCAGTACTGGGGATTTGAACCCAGGGCTTACACAAGCAAGGTAAGTGCTCTACCACTAAGCTATGTCCCCAGCCCCTCCTATTATTGATGAGCATTGGAGTGTTTTCCTGTCTCCATTATTACATGCAATATTGCTATAAAATATCTTCACATTTATTGTGGTTCCCATGCACAGAGCTTCTCTAGGGAATAGCCTCAGGAGAAAAATGCTACTTTGTAGGATTTGTGCATCGTGGGTTTTACTGAGCCGTGCCAAACTGTTTTTAAATATGGTTGTATCCTCAGCCTTGAGAGATCCTGCTGCTCCACTCAGGGGACAACATTTGTATGAGCAGTCATTTTAGTCAATTTGGTGGGTGAGAACAAGTATGTAATTTTGCTTTTAATGTGCATTCCCTGGTTATTGATATTAAGTATCTTTTCATTTTTATTGGCCAAGTGTTATTTTCTATTCTGTGAAATGCCTATTCATGTTATTTGCCTATTTTTAAATATTTCCCAAGACTTCTTTATATATTCAAATCTATCTCTATGTAYTTATATATGAATCTATCTAAAACTATACTTTCAAATCTGACTTCTTTTATCAAGAATAATAATCTCTATTACATAAAGTCTTACGGTTTTATAAATTGAGTGAATTATGATATTTTTTAGTTCCAAATATTTTTATTACCTTCACTCTGATGTTTTTTTTAGAGAGAGATATATATATATATATATAATTAGTTTTCGGCAGACACAACATCTTTGTTTGTATGTGGTGCTGAGGATGGAACCCGGGCCGCACGCATGCCAGGCGAGTGTGCTACCGCTTGAGCCACATCCCCAGCCCCTCACTCTGATGTTTTGAAGGGCAAAAATAGAAACTATGTCAAATAAATAATGATTAGGCTTATAGAAAATGGAAAATCAAGTGTTTCGGGGGGGACCCATTATTGGTTTTATTCACTCCATTACTTAGAGACTACAATGAATAAATTTCTGTTTTTGAATAGCTTTTCTTTTTTTCAATAATAAATTTCAGGAGGAAAAARTTAAACACAACCACCTCCATAGTCACTTTCATTGTGTATCTTAGGATCATCTACCTACTTGGCTCCATTTTCTCCTATTTTGGCTTAGGGAATCTGAGAAAAAAAAAATAAGATGTGTTTGCAATAGTTCAGTAGGGGTGGCCTTGAGATTCACCCAGTAATCTTTCAACTAAAAACTCCCAAACCACAAAGCAGAGGGGACTTTCCTTGGATGGTTGATATCCTYTCAATGTGGCATCTACATTGCAAGACACTAAATGTGCCAGATCCTACTTTCCAGGAATGACAATTCCACTGGAAAGACACAAATGTGTATCTGAGTAACCGAGTGAACACAGTGGAAGGTTCTAATTTGGTTCTAATTTCTGGACTAAAATTGAAAATGGTAAAGGATCAAAGGAAGAAACAYGTGCTCCTAGGCCCTCAAGTCAAGATGGTTGGTTCTGCATCTCCCTCTTCCTTTCAACCCCTGCTTCCCATCAGGATCCATAGGTCCTGTGTCAAGATGACCCGTGTCATGTGCTCTCATAACTGCACCAAGATCCATTATGGTGGTCTCTAGGGCCATCCTGCCATCCAAGGGTCTTCAGCTCTCTGAGATGGAGTGCAGCACAGAGTCTCCCCCACTCTCAGACACTTTTGCTTTCACTCYGGCCCTGGATCAGCACTCAGGGTTAAGGGGAACTGGAAACTCAAGAGAAGACAGGGCCCTTTCTTGGGCAACACGGTGGGTCAGTGTCTTGTTACTTCCCCAGCATGTGTCCATCCTGGTGGTCTTTCTGAGCTACTGTCTATCCTCCTGAAGTCATGTTTTAATAAAAAAAAAACTTCCTAAAAATCAAGCTAGAGAGTGTATCATGAGGTGATTTGTGGGTTCCAATTTCAAGTGACCTTATGATCACCCCTTTTTGTGATCCTCTAGGGACACTATCACCCCCACTCCATGCCTCAGGATATATTTAACAATGTCTAGAGACATTTTCCAGTTGACACAATGGTTGATGAAAGAGAGGTGCTACCACCTAGTGGGCAGAGGCCAGGGACACTGCTAAATATCTTATAGTGCATAGGACAGCCCCTACCACAATGAATTACCCAGCCAAAAATGTCAACAGTGACSAGGCTGAGAAACCCTGATCTACTCCTTATGACCCAGACTGGAAAAATGAAAGATCATTGGCTTCCCTGACATGACTCCCAATTCCACAGGTCCTCCTAATGGAGGTGGCTTCTTTAACTATTAAGCTACTTCCTACTGTTGCACCTGGACACAGGATGCTGAAGAGGAGCCCAGGGTCTGTAATTGAGTCAGAGACTCTCTTCTTTCTGAGAATTCAGCTCATGATCTGGATTCTAGTTAATACCACCACATTGGTGAAATGCAGTTGCACAGTAGTCCAGTCCCTCGGGGCAACAAACTTGTTGACGCCATGGATAATGTTAAAGGCTCCTCTAAATTTCATTATCATTACTTTTTTCATTAAAACAAAATACTAAGTAATATCATCTGGTAGTCCAACTTTATTCAGTCAACAAATATTTCTTGTGTGACCAGATAGCAGAGTACCTAGTACCTGGACTAACTGAATGATAACTCTCCAAGGCTAGTATACTTGAACCACCGCACCTGCAGCAKTTCATCATCTGATGAGTTCTTGTTAAAATGCCAACTCCTGAGCCTCTCTGCAGAGATTCTGACTTCATGCATCAGGATGGGGGCCCAGGAGTTTATAATTGTTAGCCARCACTTGAGATGACTGAGAAGAAGGGTATCCATGGAACCCCACTTTAAGAAATGCTGGTAGAAATCATGAAATCCACACAGACTAATCCTAGGCTTGAGAATCTAATGTGGTAATTTTCTATATTCCTGGGGGGGGGGGAATCACTTACCTAGGAATTTTCTCAAGTTTTCCATTTTTAAACGGAGGGAGAGTAAAACCCCAATACCTGCTCAAACACAGATAGTRAGAGAGCAGAATGACCTTATGTAAGGAGAAGCAGGACATTTCCAAAGGAACAGAGCTATTGGAGTTCTACCTTGAAAATGAATTTTTATGACATAGAGTGAGCATTGGCCAAGTATATTTACTTCAACAGGAAAAAGAGCTCTTGCTTATGTAAGAGATACAAACAGTACCTATTCCTATTCTCTGAAATGACTTCAGCAGAAGATGATGCCCACTTGATTAGGGAGCACCAGTCCTCCCTAATTTCCAAGACAAGTGGTTTCTCTGAGTACTCAGTTTTCTTTCKAACCCTTTTTCAGTCACTCCCCACTAGTGACTTTTCAATAGAACACTTATTTTAGTAGCATGCCAACTGCATGCTACTAACCTTAAACTTGCTCCAAGCAAGACTTWCAAGCTGTTACAAACACCTTAACATTTCTCTATGTCCAATATTAAGGACGTTATCTCACTATTTGGAATATGTGTATAGATATAAAGGCATCACTAAATGCTACCCTGAATTAATGTGATCAGTTTAACCATATAATGCATTTACATAAAGACTATCGTGATAACAATTAAATAAAAGATGAAGATTAATGTATCATCATCGCTAGAGGGAAAGGTGTGAACTAAAGGTCGGATTATCTTAGAATTATCCCTTAAGATAACTAATTAAAAACACTTTTCTGAGTTCCCTTCCATTCTGTTCCTTTAGAGACCTTCAAATGTCTCTGTCTTGTCCTCTCTGTCTACTTTTTGCTACAGGTAGCCCCACAGTGCCCCCCCCSSGGGGGGGGGCTTACAAAACAGGATACTGTTGAGCTTACTCACTGATGGAGGCTTTCAGAAGACTGTAGCCTTCYGACTCCTGCTAAAAGCCATTCAAAATGTGGATGAGTTTTCAAACCAGAGGGAAATGGCTCTTCCGTGATATACAGAGAAAAATTCAGTTTGTGTGTGATCTGGAGCCTACCACCAACCAAAGAACCCCAATCTCATACACCAAGGAGCTCCATTTCTCCACGATTTCCAGAAGAAAAAGGACTCCCCCTCCCCGCCCCACATTTTGGTGGAACTTGGTGTCAGCGTATTAATTTGAATGCAAATTTCCTGCCCCAATCTCAAATTTGCTGCAAGATCCATGTTTAAGTCGACTTGGCTCCCGGCAAACCAACATGCAAATGGGGGGGGGGGGTTCAAGTACAAGAACCACAGCGGCAATGAAAAGACACGTGGGCCATACCTATTTTTGCAGCCTCCATTTTCAGGTTGAAATCCCAGTTCCTTGGCAGCTTGAGGGACATTTTGCTTTCGGTTTGGGTGAGTAACTGGTGAAGCAGCCAGTCTGTCCCAGTTGGTGCCCTTCTGGACTTTTCGATCTCGTCCTCTGCCTTGTCTTTTCCCCCCTTAATGTTCGTTTCRCAAGCCGGGGTTAGGTTTGAAGTTGATCTGCAACGTGTCTCCTCCTTTCTCTCAGATGCAAGGTCCATCCATCTGTCAGTTGGGGATGGCACCCAAACTCCCCTCGTCCCCCACCCACAGTCTTCCAGGGACTGATACCTGCTTTCCTTCTTTCAGTTTTAGCGGAAATATCCCAGGTGACACTTGGCTCTGAGCTGTGGGGAGCAGAGATCCTGTTCGAAAGAATCTCAGGCCTCACTGAGGCAAAGTTGTAATAAACAACCGCTCCTCTCAGCTTTTTTTTTTTTTTTTAACTGTCTGCTTCCTTGCATTTGAGGAAGTGGGTGCTGCTCAGTGTGGAGGATGCAGGAGGAGCACACTTTCTTGAGAAAATCATTTGGGGAAATGCTTGTCAAGCTGGAACGAAAGCATCTGTGACATAGGGCTACAGTTTTACTGAAAGGAAAAGCAAAATCCCAAGATCCTTCACCATATTCTTCTACTGTGTTCTCCTCACCTAAAGGATCAAGCATCCCCAGGTAGCCTGTAGACAGCCAGCATTCTGCCAAAGTTACCTTCTTTAAAATCCTTCTTGTGTAAGGATCATATAATCAGCTCTCTGCCTGCACAGGGTAAAGATTTCTACCAGCCAGATGTAGGAAGGGTTTGGTATATTGAGTCAGTAAGTCAATTTCAGCAGGTAGACCCCCTCAAATATTCCTCAATTATTTGGCATTGAATCCAGGGGGTGTGTTTCAGAATCAGACCAACATGGATTCAAAACTCAGTTTTTCTACTTTCTAGCTCTACAACTTCTAACAAGCAATTGAATCTTTCTGAACCTCACTGTCATTAGAAAAAAAAAATGAGGTAGCTATAGCTGTATAGAAATTTTGCAAAGACGTCTAATACAGACCTTGACACACAGTGGTTATACCACAAACATTGTTTCTATCCTTATTCTATTTAGTTCTGTGACAGGCTTTCATGTATTTAACTGGGTCAGCCTAACCAATAGTGGTTAGGCATTTGGGCYCTGGAACCAGACTGCCTATGTTCAAGTCTTAGCTTTATCAAGTTCCTAGCTGTGTGACTTTGGAACCAGTTCTTGACCACTCTGTGGTTCAATTTTCTCATTTGCAAATGAAGCAAATAATAAAACCTGCTTCCTAGGGCTGTTAGAGAGCAGGTACAAAGCACTCAGAATGATCACTGCTGCCCAGCAGATGAGTTATGCATTCTTGGCCCATATTCATTCTTCAGTCCCCTGGGTGACTCTCATACTTTCTTCTTCACCCCCACATGCTTACTCTGTTGATGATCTGGCTTCCTGTCTCATTAAGAAAACTGGTGCAACTGGACATGAACGCCTACAAGTTCCCCCCACCAATCCACCTACCTACCCGCATGTGAGCCTGTGTGCTCAACCTGCTGCAGTGGATAAACCCTCTCCGATGGCTTCCCCAGCCCTACTGCACCCTCATGTTCCTCTCTTTCCTGGATCTTTCCCATCAGTATTCAACTTATTCATTTTATCCCATCTTTTCAAGAATCTCTTAATGCCACTTCTTTGACTGTAGCCCCATTTCTCTCCTTCATTTCTGAGCAAAGCTTTGGTAAGAGTTGTCAACATTTGCAAATGTCTTTCCTTTTACTTTCTTCTAATTCTCCCTGTTGATGTAGTTGTCCCAATACTCTGCAGTATATCTTCTCATCAAAGACACTGGTGACTTTTCTGTCACTAATCTCTGAGGTCARTTCTCCATCCTCATCTTGCTGACCTGTCAGTAGTGTTGACCACTTTCTTCAGATCTGAGCTCTCTTTCCATGTGGCTYCTGGAAGCTATGACTGGCCTGATTATCTGCCTGCCCTCTGGCTGCTCTCCTGAGTCCTTGCTGATTCCCTGATTTCTAAATACTGGTAGAAACCAAGATTCATTCAGTGGACTTCTTTTCCATCCCTACTCACACCTAAGTGAGCTGGTCTATCGTAAGACTTTAGACACCATGTATCTACAATCACTGCTTGTAATTTTCCAGCCCAGATCACCCTCTGAACTCTAAATCTCTGCTTTGCTCTCTAATAGCGATCTCAAGCTAAACTTGTTGAAAACATATCTAGAGASCAGGCTGAAGGAGCCGTGGTGACCTGGGGCATATTCTTCCATTGGAAATGAAAGAAACATGAGACTGAAGAACCACTCAAGTGTATTTCAAGCCTCTGCTTCCATCCTGTCTACTTGCATTCCATTAGCCAACACGGGTCACATGGCCAAGTTCAAAGTCACCAAGGCAGGAAGTGTGCACAAGTGCTAAGGGGCAGGCAGAGGGGGAGAAAGGAAGGGYAGGAATGCTTGCAGATCAAGGCTTCGATCCATCTCACCAACTCAGTATACCCAGCTGCCCTCAGCTCCCCAGCAGTGCTAGATTCTTCTGACCTTAACTCTGCCAGTCAAGGACTTTGAAGCCTCCAATCTTGCTCTACTGCCTGCCTGACTCAAACACCAGTGTTCTTTCTCCTGACCTAACTGAGTGGGGGAAAGGAGGTAGCGAGCTGAGCCCTAGCCCAATAGCATCTCATGGGGAACTTGACATCAACCAAAGTTGCCGTCCTGGGATCTTTAACTTAAGAACTCTGAAAATATTCTGAAGGTGGCATTTACAAACACACAGGGAACTTCCTTTACTCTTTAGAGTGGCGTCCTGTGAGTCTTGGAAAAACTCATGACCCATGGGGGAAGTTAGTTGTGCATCGCGCATACTCGGAAAGGCAAGCAGGAAAAGTGGCCTTGGAAAGGCCCGGTACGCAGCGTTTCCCCAACAGAGCCGCCTTGGGGTGTCAGCTCCCTGGGTGGGGGTAGAAGGCTGCTATCTGTCCTCTTACTGCTCCCCTGTTCTGACTTTCCTGGAAGGAAGAGATATCTGGTCCTAAAGTTGAAATTAACATCCACAATAACAAAAGCAAAATTCGTCCATTTATTTGCATATTAATGCTAACCATTTATTAAGCATTAAATATTTGCTGGATATTGGAGAAAAGTTCACAAATAAGCAGAACTGGTTTCTGCCTCCCTCCTTCATCCCTCTTTCCCTCACACTCCCATGTGCAGCTAACAGTTTGTTGAAGGAGAAGAACAATTAAGTTAACTATTAAATATAGCATGAGAAGTGCTGTTGTATTGGAAGAAGTGTAGGGAGCTACGGAGGCGATATGGAAAGGAGCATATTGGGACTAGGAGAAGGAGGAGAGGCTTCTGGGAAGAAGTGGATTTCAAAGTAAGGTTTGTTGGGTATGGTGGCACATGCCTGTAATCCCAGCAGTTTGGGAGGCTGAGGAAGGAAGCCAGCCTAAGCAATTTAGCAAGACCCTGAGCAACTTAGAGAGACCCTGTCTCAAAATTTTAAAAAAAAAAATTGTTTTAAAGGGTGGGGATAAGTGCCTCTGGTTCAATCCTGGGGCGGGGGGGGGGGGGGTTGCTAAATGAGGTAGGGAGACAAGAGTTCCAGACACAGMAAACAGCATACAGGAGGCACAGAGGCAAGAAAGAACTTTTTGGATTGCTCCTAAGAAGGACGAATGGAATAAGAGGGAGGAGAGATGGAGTTGGAAACATAGGCTGGGGCTGGTCGGGATGGCATCACACAAGGCCCAGTGCGCTTTGGTAAAGAGTTTGACTTTACCCGCAGGGAACTGGAGATTAATGAAGACTTTTAGCAGGGTAAGGGTTAGGACAGTATGGGAGATACCTGACTGTGTGTGTGAGAGGGGTCAGCAGCAGTGGGCACAGAAAAAAGGGAAAATACACAAGCAGCATTTACATGACAGAATTGCTAATCCCTGAGGAATTATTATGAAAAGAGAGAGAGAAAGAGAGAGAGAGAGAGATACCATGATCCTGACTCTGGTCACTGGAGGGGCAGAGATTCCAGTCACAGAGACAGGACACACACAAGAAGAGTGATAATCAATGTTGAGGGCAGGGAGAAGGGGGTGGGCTGGGTTTGGAGACCATTGCACTCAGGGACTCATGGGGTGCCTGAGTTCAGATCTCCTGCAGCCCGGTAAGCCTAGAACTCAGTCAGACAGATTCATTCATTCATTCATTTGCTCCCTCCATAAACATCTATCCAGGACTCCGCTGGATGCTGAGTAAACAAGGATGGTTGGGAATCTGGCCTCATCCTCAAATGACTCATGAGAGAGAAGTGTAGATGTAATGGTGTACTGTGCAAGGTTCAAAAGTGGTGCATGCATAGGGTAGCAGCAGGAAATGGGCAGCTCTGCTTGGATGGTCAGGGGTGGCTTCCCAGGAAATGTGATCCWTGAGAGAATCATCAAGAAGCAAAGTGAGGGAGGCTGGGGATGTGGCTCAAGCGGTAGCGTGCTCGCCTGGCATGCTTGCAACCCGGGTTCGATCCTCAGCACCACATACMAACAAAGATGTTGTGTCCGCCCAAAACTGAAAAATAAATATTAAAAAATTTTCTCTCTCTCTCTCACTCTCTCTCTAAAAAAAAAAAAAAAGGAAGAAGCAAGGTGGGGAATCAGGAAGAGAACTCTGTAGACAACAAAATGACAGATAGCTGTTAAAACATGGAGCCCATTTAGGGAAGTGTCAGGAATGATGAATGGCTACTGTGGGAGATGGCCAGAGCCTGAGACAACTGCAGAAGGACTGGACTCTACTCTGAGGTGACAGAACATTTTGAACATTCCTTTCATTGTTATTTATACTAGAAAAGAATTCCATGATCTTTGTAGAATTTTTAAAGAAATATAAAGAAAATGAAAATTGTTGTTACCATATAATATACCACAGTCTTCCTTTATCCACAAAAAATATGTTCAAGACCTCCAAGTGGACACCTGAAACTTCAGATAGTCCCAAGCCCTATATACAATGTTATTTTTTTCCTAGACATACATGCCTATGATACAGTTTAATTAATAAATTAGTCATGGTAAGAAATCAAAAATAATAAAATAGAACAATTGCAATGATATGCTGTGATAGAGCTGCCAGTATCATTACTCTTATGCTTTTGGGCCATTATTAAGTAAAAACAAGGATTCCCTGAACATGCCCATTGAGATACTGCAATGGTTGTTCTGATGAGCAGAGAGCTCAGACTGACTCTTTCAAACGTRTCAAGTGCACTGAGTTGGGCCAAAACCTTACTCTCTGGTGAGGCCATGCCAGTTATCATTGTAGCCACGCTTGTATTATTGTTCCTTATAACAGACATAAGAATAAAAGATTAATTTTTTCATTTTTTTACATTTTTTATTTT